TCTGAGAACATCTAAGTACTTCTACATCATTTTCCTTCATGCAAAATTCATTATATGTGCTAAATGCTCTCTTTAGGCTTAGAAAGATGGTTTGAAAAGCCATCTGGGGGACATCTCTTCAAGTGGGAAACACCCACAGCAGTCAAACATTGCCTACACCTATATAGATAGCTCAGTAAGGTTTGAAACAAGCAGTTATTCTTCTACTGACACTGCAGAGTGCCTGTATTACACTGTAACAAATAATAAGGAATGCATATTCAGGTTTGTGCAAGCACAAACAATAATTTCTGCTTTTTCCACCAAACATCCCTAAACTGACCCACATCATTTGAACTGAGGTGTGGACAGTGAGTTCTGTAGCACAAAAGCATCTCTGACACATAAGAGCTGCACAATAGAACTCTACCACCAACAAATGCTCTAAGCACAATTTTTTTCCAAGACATGAATGATGCAAGAAAGTGATTTAGCTTTATAACCAACCAAACAGAAAGGCTGAGCAAGTCAGCTACAGGACGAGTAACACAATGGCATAATCATCAGACAAGGCCTAAAAAGACAGGAGAGTCAGAGGCACCATTTCCTTGAACTCAACTCTTCTAGGCCTCATCCCAAAGAAAATATGTATCTATGTGACCTAATTCTGAAAAACAAGATTGTTGGTAGCCTAACAAAGCTAGGAGCTTCTACATAAAACAGATAACCTAAAGGCAGACAAGAAAAGCAGAAACCATGGAGTGTGTGCAACTCCATGTAATGGTATCCCTGCAAAATCCAAGACACAACAAGTGACCTTAAAGCACAGTACAGCAAGGCTGAAGATTCAGCCACACTACCTGATGTTTCTTTAACATGCCCCAATTTTAAGAAACTTAAAAGCATTACAACTTGGGTTAACTCACAAAAAATATTCAATTTGAATGTTCACACCCATTTCTTCAAACACAATCTAGCACTAACTGCAGTGTGACTTCAAGTAACAGGAGAGCTAATAGAAGAAAAAAAATTGTAGCTCGAGAAGCAAAAAGAAGTCAGATGAAGGGAAACCAGACATTTGGAAATCTAGGTGTCAATTGCTTATCCACTTACACCATTACATATTTTAAAAAAGCCCACAGATCTCTCCTTGTTACCAAGTATAACAAAGATATAATGGTATATTCCATCTTACCCAAGCAGTTCACTTGAATCTGAACTGGGACAGTCTTTGACAATCCATTCATTTTTTTGGTGACACCAATTTTGTCATTCTGATCTAAAGTCTCATTGCAGCTTCTCAGTTTTAGGCAAGACAGCATCAAAGCAATATGGAATCTTTTTTAAATGAGTTATTAATTAGAAAATTAGGTCCCTGCAATATGAAATAATTGGATAAATAATTAAACATGTGGATCCTACATTTGGAATTAACTGTCTTCCAGATTTCATCAACTCTCTGAAATACGATAAACTTAAACCTTCTAAAATTAAACATGATAAGCTCCCTCCATATATGTCTAACCAGAACTTTAAAAACCATTCAGTGCCTACCTGAACCATCACTGGAGACTGAACTTGCATTGATCCCAGAAAGGCCAAACAAGGGACATTCTCGATCAGTGTTTATGTGACCCCACTTGTGGCACTTAATGCATCTCACATTCCGCACCTAAAGCAACAAAGTCAATTGATACAATTTAGTCACCAAGAGGCATAAGAGAAGCTTTTCAACCCACTGAAAAGGAGATGATAAAATTAAGAGAGTCCATGTGAGAGTTCTGCAGTCAGACAACCTTTGAAATAAACCCCAGACATCCAGAGAGTGAAATGTATGTAACTTGCCTGGATTCCAAATGGCTGATCTCTGATATTCATATCATCCTTAGCGTACCTGCACACAAACGCAAGAGAAAACAAATACTCCTTTCACCACTGTTTTTTAAAAGACATCATATACAAAACTACCTTTTTGTGTGTGCACCCATTTCAGAGGTGTAATTCTTGTAAACGTTGTTTTTAATGCGTTTTCAAACATGGATGCAAAAATCAAATGAAAATAAAGCTGAGCAAGGAAATAGTTCCAAGTTAATAGTTCCTAATTAAGTGTCAGGATGTGACAAGATCACACAAGTGACCTGCCCAAAAATAAAACAGGGGAAAAAAGGGACAAAAAGAAAAGTATGTGAAAAAATCCAGATATCTTACTTTTCTCGAGGGGCAACTTTTTGCCATTCAAATTTGTATTCAGTCTCTCCTTCTTGCTATAAAACAGAAAACATGGTAAGTTTGAAGCTTTTCAGAATACATTTTAAGCAAGCAAGAAGAAAACATAAAGAAATAATGTAATGAAATACCTCTTTCGTTTCCTCTTTGTATTTTCAGAAAGCATGCAAAGAAAATAAATGATGCATTAATTATATATGTAAAATCCAGATGGTGCTCCCCCAACTAAGCCAAAGAAAAAACATTTTATGGTTTGTACTAATCAATAGTGCAAATACTCAGTAAGTAGCTTTATATAAATAGAGTGCACTTACAAATAACCAGCCTCTATTATATAGCTTTAAATGCTGTACATCCAGAATCACCTTCTAAAACTATGCAGATTTGTTACACAGATAAAAACTTCACTTTTTGCAAGAGTAGCAACAATACTTTCAAGATATTTAAAAAAAGAAAAAGTTTAGTAATAATTGCTACTTTGAAATTGCATTTCCTCTAAGCTTAAGAGATTACTATTAGAGCTTCTAAAGTTCAATAATTGCAAAACTTGGTCTACAAGAATGAGTCCATCCAAGCATTTCCAAGTGATTTCATGCAAATGGGAAAGATGCATTTTAAAGGGAACATGTTTTCTCCCAGAGGAAATATATTTTCTTATTTCTTCACTTACATTCAGATCTTGCTCAAATTGACTGATATGAGTGTCCACTAGGCATTTAGAAACTTCCATTTATGACACTACCAAACAGCCATAAACTCACCAGACACAGGTCAGGCAGCACTTTTGACTACTGAATTTCAGCATTTATTATTTTTATAACTTCTGATAATTAATTTCTTGCTCTGGTATTTCCTATGTTTGACAAGCATCAAGCTGAATTATGGGTGTAACTTTTAAACAAAACCAACCTGCTACTTCTGTAAAAGAGAGCAGGGCAAAATACAGGTTTGTGTTGGCTGAGTCATTGCCCTGGTAGTGTCTAGTCATCCTCATCCAGTGGCTTTAGAACTGGCTAAAGAAGCATCCTTGGTGGAGGACAGAATTTATACTGTTTCCTGGAAAGATATTTATCTGCTCTTCCCTTCACATTGCACTGTAGTTTAAAAAAACCCCAACTATTCTTTTTGAAAGAAATTAAAATTTTGTGTGATCAAAATGATTACTTACCATATATATATATACATACATATTGATCTATCTATCTATATCTACGTCTGGATATTCTCACAGAAAGAATTTTAAAAATCACATCTTCTACCATGACCTCACCATGAACACGTTATTTTAAAATAAAATACATTGTGTTCATTTCTTCAGAAGGCTTTTAGCTTTGCAGTAAACCCTGCCCAGAATGAGGAAATTGCAATACCTTTCTTTGCTCCAGGTGGGGCCTCATACATGAAGTTAAGACCATTCTTCACACGCTCATCACCCATAAGCAACCTAGATAAAAAGGGCAGTTTGGGGTGTTACACACCAGTCACATGCATTGGTAACACTCAAAAACAAACCAAAACAGTATGAAATTGTTGTGATAACTAGCATTTTTTCATTTGTGAGTAACAAAATCTGAATTTCAAAAAATTTGAGAGACCAGACAATGCTTTTGCATGACCCGCTGTGTACAAAAATCACACATTTCAATCTCAACTGAAAAGTATGTCCAGAGAGTTCTGAAAAACAGATTTCTGTGTGATACAAATCTATTATTATACAAGGTTACTGACTGTTCTGCAAAGAAACGTAGCATATTTTGAAATTAATCAGAAGACAGGCACAAACCACTAAAGAAAGTCTTGTGACTTCTGCTTAATGAGACATCACTTAATGAATCACTGCCCTCTCCGACTACTCCAGTCAAAGGAGACAGTACTTCAAATTGCTCACAGCAATATGATCCTCACCACCATGAAAACAAGACAGGAGGAAGAAGGGAGCAATCTTAAGCCAATTCTCACCTATTATCATAGGATTCCTGTTCTTTCAGATACTGTTGCATTAATTCTTCTTGTTTCTTCTTATCATATGAGATTTTCTGTTCTGCCATCCATACCTAATTAAAATAATTATAGTGTATAAATAACTGGCTTACTCAATTGAAAACACTTAACGAGGGATGATCACCGTTCTAATCAAGTAAAATATATTATTCTCATCCAATATTTTAACAAATGAACTTCCCACAGCAGTACTTTTTAGAAACTCCAAGTTCCAGCGACACTTACACACAGCAAAGACAGGAGAAAATTTGGTAGCTCAAAGGGAAAAGCAGGCTCAGAAGATACCCTGTGGACCCCTGCTCGGGGTCTCGACAGACTGCAAGCCCCAGGTCCCCTGGCAGGGGCCACAGTTCTGGCATGGGCACCTGCAACCAGCTGGAGGCAGGCATGAAACACTGGGAAACAAGGGCGCATCGTGACAGCTGCGGTTTGCCTGGACGGGGCACAGCGCCTGTTTGTTCTGAGAATCAGGTGCTGAAAAGCCCGAGCCAGGAAAATGCCATAGTCCTACACACCTAGGAACAGGAAAACCCGAAGCTTCAAGTATTTCTTAACTATTTCCCTGCCTCCTTCTTCCTCTTTGCCGCAGCCCCGGTGCCACCCCGGGAAGGTGAGGAGCCCTGCTGGGGCCGCTGCCGTGCCGGCAGCCCGTCCCGCCGGGGCACCCCCGGGCCGCCCTCACCTTCTTGATGTTGGACTTGGAGGCGGGGTGAAAATCCTTCTTGCACATAAAGTTGGCGAACGACTTCCCCATGGCGGCGGCGGAGCGGGATCACGGACAGGGACAGCGGCGGAGCTGCCGCCGCCCGCGCCGGGCCCGCGCCCCTCAGCATGTTCCCCCGGCCGCCGCCCCGCTCCTGCGACACCTTCGTGGCGCTGCCGCCCGCCGCGCCCGGGGGCCGCGTGGTGTTCGGGAAGAACTCGGACCGGCCGGCAGATGAGGTGCAGGAGGTGGTGCACTTCCCGGCCGCCGCGCACCCGCCCGGCGCCGCGCTGGAGGTGAGGGCGCGGGGCAGGAGCGCTCCGGCGGGAGGCGGCGGGAGCACGGCTGCCAGCCAGCCGCTGCCTGCGCGCTTCGGCCGGCGGGCCCGGACGGTGACGCCATCCAAGTGTGCTCTGACCTCTTGCAGTGCACCTACATCAGCATCGAGCAGGCGGAGAGGACCCACGCCGTGGTCCTGAGCCGCCCCTCCTGGCTCTGGGGCGCCGAGATGGGCGCCAACGAGCACGGCGTGTGCATCGGCAACGAGGCGGTGTGGGGCAGGGAGGAGGTCTGCGGCGGGGAAGCCCTCCTCGGCATGGACCTCGTAAGGTGTGCACAAGCTTTTCTTTCCTTTTTCTTTCTGGTAAATGGTACCGAATTCGGAGTTTACGTGGAAACAGGTTGTTTAAGTTACATGGGGAAATAGTACTTTCACTTTCAGAAGGCACTCCTTCCACTGTTCTAGCCACGGTTAAAAGTAAGTATTTCTTGGCACAAGCACTCGATTTCTGCCAGGAGCCCGTAAGAAGTATCAGGCGCTAGACCAGAATTTGTCAAAGGAACTAGCAAACGTTTTTCTTTCTATAAAATTTATACTAAACTGGAACAAGGCTTTTTCAAGAGCACTGTTTTTTCAGGCACTACTTTTGGGCCTTTTCCTAGGGTCTGTACTCCTCTACTATTCTCCCATCTTTCACACGCATTAAGGACAGGGGGACTTCAGGGCCTTTTCCTAGGGTCTGTACTCCTCTCCTATTCTCCCATCTTACACATATATTATTTTTAAGTTTTGGTCTCAGGTGCCTATTTCCATGTAAATAACAAGTTCATGTTCCTACACTACAGGTGCCAGTGTAAATTCCATTAACCTACAGCAGTCAGTCAATTCTCTTGGTAGTTTCCCCCCCAGTCCAATACCTGCACAGGATTTGTAAGCACTTTGTAGGATCCCTCTCCCTGCCTTTCTGTATTTCCATTTGGTGTTTTTCCCCATGTCAAGTTCATAGAGGACCCACTTCAAAGAAGCCCTTTACCCGATTTGTGTTTTTCCCTTACCAGATCAATACAACTGGCAGCTGCATATAGAAATATCATTCCAGGTCAATCAGAATATTCAGGCTGAATAGTTCTATGTGGAGTTCAAAGTTCCAAAAATAACATTTTTCTTTTGTTTTAGGCTTGGACTTGAGAGAGCAGACACAGCTGAAAAGGCTCTTACTGTCATAGTTGATTTGCTGGAAAAGTATGGACAGGGAGGAAACTGTATGGAGAGCAGCATGGCATTTACATACCACAACAGTTTTCTGATAGCTGACAGAAAGGAAGCATGGGTGCTGGAGACATCAGGAAAATACTGGGCAGCAGAAAAAGTAGAAGGTATGTATGATGCTCTTTGTTCTAAACGTTTCAAGTGCAGTGACACTTGGAGTTCTCCAGTTTTCATTTACCTTTTCATTAAGGCATCAGACTAATCTCGAGCTGCACATATGTGCCTGTAAACAACAGGCATTGCTTTTGTGGGGCATGAGTGTGGATGGAGTAGCTGGCAGTTTGTCAGAGGAGCTGAGGGACAGGGGCCTTTTCAGAGGCAGAGATAACCACTCCTGCACTTGGAAAACAGAGGACAGCAAGAAAGTCAGCACGAGAGTGACAGCAGTATGCATTGTCTTAAGGATGGTAGCAATGCATGACAATTTAATTTAGGGACAGGGCTGATGTACTGGGCCCTGAAGTGGCTGATTCTTCCAGTGGACTTAGGAGGACAAGCTCAGTCTTTGGGTGTCTCAGAAGAATGTAAAGGTGGGAATAATCCGGACAGAATCTGAAATAAAATGTTGGCAATAGAAGCAAATGAGTCAGAAATGAGTGGCAGTGAAAATTCAGTCAGAAAAATAAATGTAGCTGGGGAGAGAGGGCCAGAAATAAACCACCAAGGGGCAAGAAATAAACCACCACTGATCTTGTAGGAGATTCTTCAGGGCTAATTTGCTTTACTAAGCTAATTGTAAACAAAATACCAAGAAAAATCATTCAATGTATTACAACAATTCTTTCTGCAACTCACAAACAGGAGGCGTACGGAATATTTCCAACCAGCTCTCTATCACAACCAAGATTGACAGAGAACACCCAGAACTGAAGGAATATGCCAAAAGCAATGGCTGGTGGGATGGGGAAAAGGAATTTGATTTTGCTGCCACATATTCTTATGTCAATACTGCCAGAATGACCACATCTGGAGGCCGATATTGTGAAGGCTATAAGCTTCTGAACAAACACAAAGGTATCATTTTGAATTTTTTTCAAGATATGCAAAATATTTAGTGAGCTGCATTAATTAAAGTAATAAATTCTTATACATCTGATGCAGGCAATCATTCACATGACTTGGTGAACCACAACTTACTAGGATAATTTTTTGCCTAAAAGAGAAGCACTGAACTTGGAAGTTTCTATCCGTTTTGCTAATTTATTGAGGAGGAAAAATGAAAACAAGGGTCAAATATCAAACATACAGAGCTACAGTAACAACCCTGAGAGGTCACATTATGACCATAACACTAAATGCCCTGTAAGATCTGTTCTGAAACATTTTGATAGGCTACATATTAATATTGTACTGCTAAGGAAAAAACCTAGAAGCTAAAACAGATCCCAGCAGTTTGCAACCACAAAGAACCTTATGAACACCTTCTGTCAGGTACCATTTATATGCAACAGAACAGCATTCAGTTGTCACATATCTTGCATTCATTTTTGACATTAATTTTTAAATCTTTGTCGTTTCACTGTAATAGCTACTCTGAACTTGCATAGTCTAGTAAAACACACCAGGAGCAGAACAAAATCATTTTCTGTACTCTAGGCAGTCACTACATCAAACACTTACTTTTCAGACTCCTAAAGAAAGAACCTATTACTTCACTTCTAACTGCATCCATCTAGCAGGTGTCATTTTGCTGTAGCTGTAGTCACTTGCTCATTTGAAGTAATTATTCTGAATCAAGATTACATTGCAACCATTTGTTTCTTTTTTTAATTTGGCTGAACTCTGCCAGAGTTCAGCCAAATTAAACCAGACCAGGTTTAACTTTTTTTAATTTGGCTGAACTCTGCCAGACCAGGTTTAGCATTTAGTTAATGCATCAGAGTGAATTACCATTGCTCTCTTGCTCTAGTGATCATGTAAATCCTGCATTCATTTTGAGAATTGCAGGTTCTGAATACTGAAAGCATTTTCATAATACCTGTATTTACTTGTATTATAACAATGCTGAGATTGTATCTGTGTTTTCATTCTAAATCCCCATTTTCAGGCATTTACCTGAGCCATTTTAAAAATCCCACTAGGTGTTCAGGTTATCAGTCTCATATGGTTCACTTTGTTTAGATTTATTTTAAATAGGTGCCTTAACTAAAAGCTATTTGATTTACAGCATCAGTAAAATCACTGGTTTCTTCATCTACCCTTCCCTGCTTTTTCAGTCAGTGGCATTACAGTTCTGGGGTTTTTCCAGGCTGTCTACTACGTGAGGGCCATTTTTAGAGAAATATTATTCATATTTCAAAAAAAAGGGAATGCATTTCAGGCATAAAAAATAATAGAGTCTAGTGTAAAACATGCAGTACCTTCTTCCCTGCTGGACAGGTTACCAAGTTGTAGCTGACAAAATGACCATTGCTTCTTTTAATCTCTTTGATTCACCTAGCTTGCTGATTTCTTTAATTCTCTGACCTTCTCAGGCAACTATAGGAATACTTAAGTCTGTCTTCTTGCTGAAATGTAGTGCTGCATGCCTGTCTACAGGCAATCTGGGTCATGTAAGAAAAAATAATATTGGAGACATGTAACTTAGCAGCAGAGTAACTATTTTAAGAGGAAACAGCAAGGTAGTCAATAAAAAAAATTCTACAGTTAGAACTCAGTAAGGGAAACACTAAAATAGTAAAGTGGTAGACGATACCTTCCAATAAAAAATAAAGAGTAAGTGAACTAATGTTTTACTGCCATAAGCATACCCTCTACTGGTACACCAAATGTGAGAAGAAAACCATCCTGCAAGAGCTGCCTGTTAGAATATTGGATGGTTTGGTGATACCATGCCAGTATCTGAGCCTCAGCATACACTAACAGCAACAGTGATTTCACTGAACACACAGATGTGGAAAGGGTTTTGTTCCTCCTGAGCAGAAGTTATTTTCATAGATACTTGCCAATAAACCTCACACAGCTTGCTGATGAAGACTGTGGCTTCTGAGCATAGAATGTAAGGCCACCCCGGTGCCTCCTTGAAAAGGATGAAAATTTTAAAAACCCACTCACCAAAAAACCTTCCAAAACAAGTGACAGTCTTGGTGTTTAATTTTTAAAGTTTCACACAAAATCCATGCATGGCTGTTATTATTTTTATAACTTTAAAGCAACATAGTGATATTAACTTTTTCAAATATCAACCAGTATTATAACGATCTGTCTTACTTCCACAGAGTGCTCAAAGTTCAGCATTTAATCCAAGTTACTAATTTTTGTCTGAGAAGTTAATTTGTGAATGACCATTTGCTAGCCCTATGAAATTTACCTTTCTGGGAAATACCGTGTGTCTTTCTACTCACTCTTTTTTTAAGGCATGTTCTTATCACCTGTCTTTGAAATACATACTTTGGGGAAAGCAATACAAGTGTATTCCATATTAAGGTTTGCCATTAGGATGATTTTTTTCCCTGCCAACACAGACAAACTAAAACTGGCATTGCCAAAAGCAGTCAGTTGTAGGGAACATGTCAGTCAGTTGGTATTATATTAGCTCTGTGGCTAAATAATTGTATTGTGTCTTGAATAGGATCTATCACTTCTGAAATAATGATGGAAATCCTTCGTGACAAAGAGAGTGGCATTAACATGGAAGGTGGATTTATGACAACTGGCAGCATGGTTTCTGTACTGCCTCAGCAGCCTAATCTGCCCTGTATTCACTTCTTTACTGGGACACCAGATCCTGCCAGGTGATGTAGCAGCAAGTAGATAAAAAATTACAAATATCTAAATGAAAAAGCGTTGCAGTTTGCCTAGTTATATTATAACCTTTTTGCTTTGGGTGGGTTTTCTTTTTCCCCCTGAAAAAGCACAGTCAAAATGTAGGAGGAACATAAATGTACATTATGTATATTAATGGTATCTACCAACCTACTTAATGGAACACTGCTGTGACAATGACTTTAACACCATTAGATGGTTTTTAATACTTTTTTCTTAAAAGAAGCAAGTAAAAGAATGGGAAAAAACACAGCAGTTTACTGACTCAACAATTTTAACAAAACAGTGTCAAGTAAAGGATCTCTGTTCTATTTTTATTTTCTAGATCTGTATTCAAGCCTTTCATTTTCGTGCCCGGTATTACTCAGTTATTAAAAACTACGTCCCCTACATTTGGTCATGACGATCCAGTTAAGAAGCAACCACGTTTTCAGAGCAAGCCAGATCGAAGACATGAGCTCTATAAAAAACATGAAAGTGCTGCTGTAGTTATGGAAACTATCAAGGTATGTTGATTAAATTAGATTTCAGTGCAAGCAGGTGGTTTATATAAGGTCCTGGCTCACATTTTGTTAATGTGATACCAGTTGATGCCCTTTGATGGATTGCAAGAACAGTGCAGTGCCCCAGAAGCCCAGTGTGTTGGCATCTGGCAGGCACGTGTCCCTGGCACTGGGAGTTGCCAGCAGCACTGTGCTGTACTGGCAGGCTGAGCTGCAGGTGAGGATCTGTGCTGCTCACCTTGCAGAGCAGCCCCCGCAGACTCCCACACCAGGCACATAACAGGGAAATGCCTGAGCAGCCACAGGCCAACACACAGCTCCTGCCACGAGTTCCTGCAGCTGTTCAGGGCCCTGGGCTCCGGTGCAAAGGAGAGCTTGCCTTTCATCACTGAAAGGAAACAAGATGACAAAGATAGCTGAACACACACGTGAAGTGGGAAGGTAGCTGCTTACTTTTAGCAGAAAATCTCTCCTATCTACAGATACACCTTCTCAAAAGTAACCCATATGCCAAACTAAGTTTTGGTAACTAATACCTAAGGAGCCTTCATATTTCTTCAATCTGTCAGACAAAGGAGATTAAGTGAATGGTAGATATTAGGAAAGATATCTAAGAAAACTTGTCATGATACTGATTTCTACCAACATAAATGTGGACCCTAGAAACTCTTAAAAGATTAAAATAAGGACAATAGAACAGAATTTTGTTAGGGTAATTACTGTGTGCTCTGTATAGTTTTTAGTGAAGCAAATGTTTCTTTTTGCAGGACAAAGGTAAAGAAATGCTCAAAGAGATACAGGAGTTGGAGAAACAGAAGATAAGTCAAATGGAATCAATCCTGCAAAATGGATGCCTTGATACTAAACAAGTGGTTAATCTTTTTTCACAGTGTGTAGAAGAAGAACTCAAAATATATGGCTAAGAATATTATTTGAATGTGGTAAAATCTGGATTATAATTGGGTCTTCTAATGAAGAGGCTATATAGATTAACGTGATATACTGTTTTTAGTATATCACATAGCATGGACAGTTTTAAAGATGCAGATTCATATTCAGGACAAATGGCTTTTGATTATAAGAATGCTGGAAAGGCTCCTAAGAGGCAGGCAGTGGCACTGTACATGGCACAAAGCTGTCAGCAGAGATTGATTTTGCCAAACAGATGCAATTAGAATGCAATAGCTTGACTAAATTAGTGAACAGTCCCATCTCTGAATGAAGAACACTAACTCAGCTCCGGAGAACCCAGATGTAGTGTACTCACATGCAGCTTTTATAGTCAGGAGAATTGTAGCAGAATTTCAGACTACCTGAATTAAAATGGCCATGCTGAAGACTTTCTAAAATGTAGAAGCTATGATGGACACTGAAGGATTCAGACTACCTGAATTAAAATGGCCATGCTGAAGACTTTCTAAAATGTCTATTTTAGATGATGAACTATGATGAACACTGAAGGAAAAAACCCAAACCAAGTAAGATTAATACTCAGTTGTTTGGTAAAACTATTCTAAGATACATTTAATATATGAACCTTCTATTCCTTCAATGTAAAATGAGGCTGAGTTCAAGGTATATTAAAAACAAATCATAGTTACAATAATAATATTTTGCTGTGAGTGATTGTGAAATCTTATTACATGAAATTCAGCAATGCAAGCATTCTGTAAGTTCCCCACAGATTTCACTTTCCTGTCTATTTTTCCCACCCTGATAGTGAAAAATAAACTTATTTATATACAAGACTATTATTGTCAAATTAATTTTGCAGTGCACTTTATAACATCATAGGGGAGTTCTAAAATATTTCTTGAATTGTTACTTTTTAAAATTAGGCAATTAGAAAGGAAGAGGTTGGGCTACACAAGTATATACAAGTACTCAGCAGGACACTTAAAAGCACTTATAATTTTTTTTTCATTTTATATAAAGCCTTTTAAACCATGATTTTTTTTTGCCAGAGTGAATAGACTATGGACTTAATTTAATCAAGCTTTTTGCCCTACCAGAAACCCTTCCTGATCCTGTTTAAAAGTAATGATCAATATATGACACCACTTTTATTATCTGTGGCAGAGGCCAAACTAAACAAACAACAAGGAAGACACTGATTTTACCTCATGATCAATAAGTCAGGAAAACAAGCAGGACTGTGAGGAAAAACAACAAAAAAAACCCTCTCAAAATGCAGCACTTCTGCAAACTAGAGCTGCAGCAGCAATGTGGGACATAACACTGCATCCCCACACACACAGCAAACCACAGAAAGATCATTCTTTGACAGTTTTTCACATGCAGTTTTCTCATTCTGTAAACTGTTCAATACCCCACTGGTAAAAAAAGTTAAATATGAAGAATAGATAGTGAAGTTTGCAGAGGTAATATGAAAATGAAGAGCTTGGTAAAATTCTTTCTGATCCTATAATAAGAGTAGAAATTAATTTGGGATGCTGTGTTCAGATTCACAGCAAGAAACTACTGAGTTAGGAAGGGCTGATGAACTTTCTATTTCTAGAGACCTGATGTGTACCACGTGGCAGTAGCAAGAATGGGAGTAAGTGTTCAGATTCACAGCAAGAAACTACTGAGTTAGGAAGGGCTGATGAACTTTCTTTTCTAGTGACCTGATGTGTACCACATGGCAGTAGCAAGAATGGGAGTAAAACAAAGTATGTTTGAATTGATTGAACATTTTGTGCCTCTGTTGACAACAAAATTTCTTAGAAGTTCAATAGCACAGTGGTTCAATACAGAAGTTCAATAGTCCAGTTTGATAACTGGAATATAGATTTATTAAAAATTTGCTGTATTTACCTGTTTTCCTTATGGGATGTCCTTATCCAATAATTATGTTTCTTTTCCTCTTTTTGATCATGAGCTGTTCCACACTGATAGCTTTAAAGCATCAGTAAATGCCAGGTGAAACTGTGCTGGAAACCAAGGTATGAATCAAGTTTTCAGGCAGCACAGCAAACCAAGTGAAATAGTTTTATGCTACAGTGCAAAGACTGAAGTTATACAGAAAGAACAGCAGTGAAGTTGGGGCAGGCCTTTAAGCAAACTTCTTGGCCCCTTAATCATGGGGTGGCAGTGAACGGGGTCAAGCACATTGGTCCAGTCCTAACACAGATACAGTCCAACTGTGCCTCTTATTTATGTGTTGCCTTGTATCCTGTAGACCAGCAAGGAAAAAGTAAAAACAATGTAATGTGTGGAGACAGTTAAAGTGATTGCCAACAGAGTACAGGATATTTCAGTACCTTTTTCCGTGAGATTTCCTTCTCCTAGAAGACACGCAGTGTAAAAACAGAAAATAAAGATGGGATCAGGAGAAACAAATAATCCTCCCTCCCACAACCTTATATTAAAAAAAAAAAAACAAACCAAAGAATGTCCCCTAGAGGGCAATCTTCTCATGGGTTTGCACCTAGGAATGTATCTTTAAAAGGTCTAGAGCTTTATGAGAGAAGGATCATTATTGAAATAAAAAAGTACTAAAATTTTGTACTAGAAAACTAAGTGTTACATCCATCCCCGTTTATTATGACAATTATTTTGAGATTAGTCCTAGAAGAAGATCCAATCTTTCACTGGACATTCCTCTAGACTTGTTCAATAGATGTTTTTATCTTCCAAGAGATTCATCCCAAACTAATCCACCTTCAAAATAAAGGAAGTCATTGCACTAGTGACCACTTCTTTAAAGCAAAGCTGTTTCTAACTACCAGAAAAACACATAGGAATATATCACCTATTGACAGAACATCAGCTTGTCAACCATTCAACACGTGCCAGTGCTCCTTGGTGAAAGCAAGCATTTACCAGATAAAAGGGTTACTTAACTTTCTAAAACAATTCAAAGTCTATTATTGGCTTCCAGAAGTACCAAGTGATTTAGAACCAAAATATTATATCCTGTATTTCATTCCTAGCCTCTTTGTTTATTAACCATCACAGACTCGGTAGACTAATGGGCATGATATCAGCAGTCACAATACTGTAGCAGTAATTCTCGGAGAATGTGGTATTGGTTGGTAATCAAAGGTGTTCTATGTATTAGATTTGTAACAGAGAGCCTTTTCTAGGCAGCAATTTTGAGCAATTTCTTATTTAAAACAGATATGTTGTGTTCAAATCTAGGGGAAAGCAGAACCATTATAAAAAGGGAAGCAGGACTTTTATGATGAAAATGAGAAAGAGTGCAAGAACATTGACTATAAACAGAACTGTAAAACTGCCCTAAGATCAAATTCTTGAATGTTTGAAGAATTAATTAAAAAAATTGTATTTAGTAAGTAGATGAGAATGTGGCACACTTCTAGTATGGAGGTATCTTTGGATGGACACCAATTAAGAAGTGCTCCACCTACTTGTAAAGGATCAAGGATGGATTCAAGAAATACCAGGACTGAAACCAAGAGCCACGTTACCAAATCTCTCAGAAACTCACATCTGCTGTAAACCTTGACATGCACACATAACCCTCTCACACACCACATCACAGCTCAGAACTCTGACATCAAGTAACAGATTTATTGACAAGTTGCAGTGTTTAGAAGCCAGACATACTTGCAGTTTCTGCTCTTAAGTCACATATATCTAATTATTCCAAAATATAGCTGTCTTCTACATTCATAATGGAAACACACTAACATTCTCCTTTGTGGCCACAGCCTGATACAAACATCAATTATATTGTTGCTGGAAAACATTGAAATATACCAGGTTGTACAGCATACATAAGCAGCAGGATGTTATGTTTCTGTGCACACTGCAATCAGACTGACAGTAAAAGGAATTATTTTTTCAATTTAAGTCTTGCAGGAAATTATAGCAACCAGAACACAACTTCTTGTTGAATAGTAGCTTATGCTGCTAAAATCACTTTTAATTCTTAATACAAAATAGATGCAAAGGTAGCTGTAATATAAATCTGCGTACTTAAAAAAAAGGGGAAAAAAGAAGGGAAAGATTTTTTTAAAAAAGGATGAGAAGACTTATTCATATGCTTGAGCAAATAATTTTTAATACCTGGATTCCTTTCCCTCACTGCATATAATTTTCATATAGACATATAAATGCTGTTCTTGCAATTTTAAAAGGGCAGCATAATTGCTATCTGATACAATACTTTGTCTTTAGCCTTTTCAAAATATTGCAGAAGACACACAGGTCCTCAGATTCTGCTTTTAGTGCACAAGAATCTGAGTGACACAAAAGTAACTAGGAGGATACCTGAGGTTTATTAGAAACCTGTGTTAGGCAATCAACTAAAATCTAGGATGTTTAGCTACTCCAAACCCTAATATGGATGTTCATTTAGGATTTTTTATATATTAGATTTAAAAGTCATTAATTTAATTAAAAAACTAATATGATTTGAAAAATAATTTTGTTTTGACTTGCACATGTATCCAAGGCTTCCATAAAATCTTTACTTAAGGCTGGCACTTCTGATTTAAACTCTGAATGCTAATTTCAAAATGTAAAAATCTGCTCTTGATAAAGCTGTCACGACCATAAGGCAAAACAAATTGTTTATTCCATTATATAATTTCCTGTTCTGGGAGAGTGCTGAATATTTCTATGGTTTTAAGATTTGGTAGATTTGTACAAAACCATTACTTATTACTTACTCCACTCAGTATTTGCCCAGCTTTAATCCCCTGATATTGGAAACACTGTCACAGCAATTCTGTCTTTTTAATTGGAGTATTTTTTCTTTAGGGGAGGAAAAAGCCCACCTGATCTCAGGTGTAAGCAGCTAAAAAAAGTTCCTGGTGTTAGACAAGAGCAGAGTAGTAAAACTGAGGTATGACAGAAGAAATCCTACCCCTGTGAAGTCAGGAGGAAGCTTGACTGTAAACGGGCATCAATACTTCATCACACTAAAATATGGAGAACATCCAGCAACATGAAAAATACCTTTCATGGGGTTTTTTTTCCTCATTTTGGCATCAGTATTAAAGCTGCAGTTATAATGCCTCTAAAGTACAACAGTGACACATACCATTTAGTAAAATTTGTTTTGCTCAAAATAGAAAAAATGTTCTAAATCTGGAGCATCTGGTTGGAATTCTGACTAAATATAACTTTCTACCATTTTCTTCAGCATAGACGAGTGGAACCACATCTCTTAATTTTACAAGGGAGAATAGCACAACAGTTCTGTGAGAGCTCTGAGAAAGAACTACCAATTTCAGTAGTGAAGGCAGACGAGGTGGTCACTACCTGTCCTTTCCTGCTGGCTCAGCTCAGTGGCTCTCAGCTGCAGCAGCTTTCTTGGCGATGAAGCGGTAGTACAAGTACTCGTCGCGAAACTCAAACTCGTTGGTGATGTGCTGCACGACGCCTCCTTTCAGCAGCCTGTCCCCATAGACCACAGCTTCCCCACGGTCAGAGGCAAGGCCAACTTGCATGAGCCAGTTCACCAGGTCACAGCCAAAGAAGATGCCAGTGGAGATCTTTGCACCACACCTGTATGTCAAAGGAATGATTCACCCACATGTTCTGTAAATCTGGTATCACCACTGCACGATGGGGAAAGGCAAGGAAAAATAGCAGGAAACAAGGAAAGACATCGTGATAGTTAAGAGCATGTTAGAAAAGAACTTGCAAGTTTTGTATATTCGGGACATGCCAGTGTTCACTACCTTTTCCTACAGACATTTCAATGGGAAGCAGTATGGACATACAAAGTTGTTTTAGGCTTCTAAATAAAATTCAAATTGCAAATAAAATTCAGTGGATATCAGTAGCATTTTCCCTGAAAACTCACATAATCTAATTCTGTTTCTTGGATACTTACTTCCCATGTACTGCTTACCATGACCCTTTCTGCAACAAAATATCTGACTTGACAGCAACCTGACCCCAGCAACAGGGATTCTGTTTGAATTTTAATTAGTTTTATAATTTCTGAAGACTTTTAAGCAGACACTGCTTACACATATTGTAAATAAGCCCATTTATAACTTGCATATCCTGTTAAATATTGACCACACATGCAGTACTAAAAATAAACAAAACCTTTACAACAAGACTATTTTTTAATGTATTCATGAGGCAATGATGCTATCATCAAATTTACTTGCAGCAATGAATGTTCCTGGTTATCTAAAATCTATTATGTGCAACCCAAGCACAGGGTTTCTAGAGGTGATTAAGAGCTAAAAGACAGCATTTCCCCCCCCATTTCTTTAAGTTAAGAGCAGCAGTAACACAGAGTAAGTGTTAACTTCTATTAGCATCTATTAATGAAAATAAATTAAAATCTATGGTTACAATGTCTCAGTTACAGCACATTTAAATCAAAAAGGATAGGATCAAGTTAGATGAATATTTAAAATTACAAGATAAATGCATTGTTGTAATTCATAAGGGGAAATAAGACATGAACCAAGTTCTGCACAAACATAGTATTACAACAATAAGGCAACAAATGTCATAATTTCATGTATTCTCAGGTGGATATGATTAATAAAAACCACAAAGTACAACTAAATGAACAGCCCTAAGCTCAAGAAACCACAATAGCAGCAGAGGCACAGGAAAAACAGCTGTAAAACCTGTTCTATTTCACAAGACATTTTTCTGATACATCTTTCTTATGGGACATAAGAGACTGAACAAAATCATGATGCTAGAACATGTCTAGAACAGTTTTGCAATATGGTTTTGGACTACCTGACCATTAAAAGACCACCCCACCCTGCCAAGCTAGTCCTACTTAAAAGCTTACATTACAAGAACAGCCAAAGTGTCCTGTTAGAACAATTCATGTCTCCATTTCATATATTTAAATAAAGGCAGCATCTTCCTCTTGTTCCTGCTGCTTCTGTCTGCTTTTTTCTTCTCATCTACCTACACATATGTGAAGGCATAATCCTTGATTTAGGTAACATAATTTGCTTCTGACATCTTTACTGGACTCATAAATTGAAGTTTAGGCCTCAGAGGTATGAGTAAAAGAAATTATATAAACTCAGAAACTGTCAAAGTCCTAAACCCACTCTAATCTCACACGTTGAGTGGCTCTGAGTACACACTAAAATCAGCTGCAACAGTTTTGCCTCCTATAAAAGCTACATATTAGTAAACATTTAGTTACAAATATGGACAGCATCTTACTCTACAAAACAAACCAAACAAACAAAGGGACTTAATGCATTTCTACAGGTGTTATTGTATACATTTTTTTAGGAAGATTTTATCCTCTGAGCTCCAGTTAAATGCAAAACCTGGAGAAATCCCTTAGTGATATAAAACGTTTAATCATTTATTAAAAAACCTAGGTGGGATAATATGATAACTTGTGCCCCGAAGTTTCAGTGTTAAGCTAGAAACATTTCTGTTACAGTTTCATTTTTAATCCTTATCTTGAGGTTTGAATGGGTACACACAACAGGAATCCCCCACAAAATTAACTGCATTTCATTGTGTTCAGAAGATGAGCTATGTGCTTTGTAACAGGTTATATGTGCAGGGAAGAATCTTACCTTCTGCCTTTGACAATACTTTTGACACAGTGATCTCTATGATAACGAACAAACTGTTGACAGGTCATTCTGATTTCCTCAGGTACAGAGGCATCTGTGTGCCCTGCTGCTTCTCTTCCACCCCAGAAAAACTCAAGTCTAGAAAACACACACAAAAAAAAGAGAAAAATTCAAGACAGCAAATCAAGCAGGGGCATTTCTGGGAAACTGCAAATAATAGAATGTACCTCCCAGGAAGCTTATCACAACCTATTTTTGTGCCCAATACTTGACATATAATATTCCTAATATATTTATATGACTTTTGAACACAGAGGTGTTATTCTAGGCTTGGGCAGAAGGAAAGTCAGAGAGTAGCTGGGAGCCAGCTCTGGCTGCTGGATTCACAGGGCAGCCAGTTAGCTCCAAGGTAAAGGCAGCTTGGTACAACTCACTCCTCCACTGTGGAAGGGCCTGTCCACTCAGTAGGCATGGGGTTAACACAGTGCTTTAAAACAGTGGTGACACATTCTGATTCAGCATCCAGATCTAAGCTTTAGTTTATCAGCTGAAATTATTTCTGAAGATCCTTCATTGCCAAAACTTTCACCTCTAGGGAGCCTGCAGGACTTTATATCTCTGAAAGTGTCATTAGGATGGCAGAACAACCTCTCTACAAGTGGGAGAGAAAAGAAATTTGGAAGATTATGAAATAGGAAACTGAATACTCTAGCACTGAAAACTCAACACTCTTCAAAAATTATTGTTAGTAATAATTAGGTTTATAGATGTAAGTGCAAAGATTCTATTTACCTTCGCTTGAATGGCAGAATGATTAAATGCTTATCTAAGCCAAAAATACCAAAGCAAATGAAGCCCTGGAGGAAAAAAAAAAAAAAAACACATAAGAAAAAGCAACATGAAACCAAAGTTTTGGTTTCTATAGAACAGAAATTATAAACTCAGTGCCAAATACATTTCATGTATACATGGAAAGTACCCCCCTTCTCTAAATATCATTCAAAATGCATTTTGTTTCTACTTTGATTTTTCACTTGGACCTCAGAAAGACATATCAATACCTAACAGTCAATCATATAAAATCTTCAATAAATAGTTCAGTAAATTCTGTGACATGCCACTTGACATGACTTGAGATAACTGGCAACCTTACATAGCCAGGTACTGAATCTGTCTTTGTTAATGCCAAGGAAAGAACAGACTTACTGTAATTCAAGTGCTAGAATGCTCTCTATTTAATTCATTTTTCTGTGCAGCTTTTATATAGAATTATCATTACTTGATGCTGCAGTGCATCCTGTAGGCACATGTGCCATGGATGTGTAAAATGTTCCTCTGGTGTGTGTATTATCACTGCCTGGCTTTCACCTTCACAGGTGGCAAAGCTGCCTTGTGTCAGGGGCACTGAAACAGCCCAGGTGCAGCCAGAACCAGCACCCATCTTCAGCTCTTCACTATGGTGCCGTCACTGAAACCAGAGAAATCATTTAAACCTTACAGAGACAGCATCCATGGAGCTGCCTTGCAACTGATGGAACTCCACAGAAGAGACACCAGTGAAGCTTTGGTACAAATAAATTCCTAATCAGTTTCCATGAGCATTGGCATTCAGTTGTCACTTGCACTTTTGAAAGTGTTCTTGGTCATAGGAGATGTGCACTACCTGCTGCAACACCCACCAACGTGGTCATTTTCAGAACAAACATTGGTAAGTACCTGACCAAAATTAAACACAGCACAGAAGAACTGCAGTTCCACATACAGCCTTCCAGGCTCTTGGTTGAACAGCCACCACAAGCAACTGGAGAGATTCTGTAAAGAAAATAGAAAAACAACAAACCCCACAAACATAACCTGACTGTTAAAAATCAAAAGCTTTCTTCTCCTCACATGCTACTAATTCTTGCACAATGTTAATGGTTTCTATTTAACAAATTATTCAGATAAGACAAGTAAGAGGGAATAAACACCTTAAAATATCATCTCAGTTAGGCTTAATAGCTTGGCAGGAGGGGGAACCTTGGCTGTTTTAAACATAACAATGTAAAAGATAGCAGTGTAAGAGGTTCCTGCCTCTTTGCATGTTTATGTAAGGAACTTGCCTCAAGCATACTTGGGTTTTCAGCATAACACAGGCACTATGAGCCCAGACAGATTTGCAGTGTTTGTCTTAAGGCTGCTTAGCTGAGGCCAGTGCTTTCTACATATTTCTTGCAGAGTTAGGATTATGTTAAGGTGAAGCACATACCACTTCAGCTATTTGAGATGCCTGATAGAACAAGAAAACCTCCAAAGTTAACCCATTTGGGTGTAAAGGCTAATTCTTTAAGGTAACTGATCTTATTTCATAGGATCTATGTAATCATTCAGATACAGCTAAAATATAGGCTAACAGTTGGGGTACCCCTTTAATATAAAAGATGTAAAAAAAATACTAGCATGGAATACTTGATACAGGAAATTTGAGAGGGAAACATTTCATTTTGTAATTTAACAGAACATGAAAAGCAACAGCAGTAGCTTTTAACCCACATTGTTGTGCTGCACTGTCCTGCTTGTAGTATATTTTTGCCACAGTATTTTCCATTTCAAATAAAAATGCTTCTACTAACTGACATCCACAAGAAACTCAACTAAGCATTACCTTCAAAGAGCAGCTTCTTGCCTTTGTCACAGCTAAAAATTAAAATTATATCCCCAGTGCATTACATTCTGGTATTTCACACTTGTACACAGGAGCAACCACCAACACTTCTTGGAGTCAGTAATGATGAGCGGCAACACTAACTTAGAAACGTTGCTCCAAACACCACTAAAACAGCAAAATTGCTTTTTCCCATTTAAAATAATCTTAAGATTATTCTTAATACCTCAGAGAAATCCAAGTTCCAATATAAGCCTGACCAGATAGAACAATTTTTGTAGTCTCCTTCAGAAGCAGAATTTAGTTTATATTTTTAATTGATAATTGTCTAGGGAAGAAGACCAACTCTTGAGGGAGATGGGCAACTCTTGGGAAGAAGGGCAGTAGTGATGAATGATATAATGATATAACTTCACTTTTTTTCCCCCCTTTAGGGTTCTCCTGTATCTTGCTCACCATCATCAATCTTAACTTGCATTTAATTTATGATGTGGTGCAGAGAAGTTAATTTTATTATATACCTCTTCCAATAAGGAACCAAAATATAGCCTCTGCTTTATTTAATTAATTGTTACTTAAGCAACTGGAAGATTTTTACTAGACTGTCTACATAGCTTTCCTAAAAATCATTCTACCTCAAGGAGTTAACATGGGGAAAAAACATATTTACAGCAAATAGGCCAACAATAAGAAGTAAGCACAGCAGCACATGTCTGGCCAGCTGTTTGTCTCCAGTCTGTAGAAGCTGTTCTTCCTGAGCCAACACACACGTTTGAGCACTGCAGTGACTCACACACTGATCCACTGAAAAACAAATCAGAAATTCTTCTTCAGGCTTCTATCTTCAGAACTCCACAAACAAACTTGTTAATGTAAGTTGCTGAGTCAAATTACCTTGTTAAGTATCTCTACTGAAGTGACACACACAAAATTTAATATTGGCTTGGACAATAACCTGTTCAGACATCTACTCTCAAATGAAACAGTTGAAGTTTACGTGTGCTCCTAAAATGAAAAAAGTTTTTCCAACAGAATTTTTCTTTCAAAGATTTAATTCAAAGTGAATGTGTGGTTAACATTGAGAAAACACTATTAGAATTAATGAAAACAATGCAAAAAAAAATCTCTGAACACTTTTTAAATTTTAAATTTATTTCTGAAAAAAATCAAATATACTGTCAGCTCTAATGTTTTTACTCTGCATCTCAGTGTTTAGCTCTACATCAGACAGACAACCATATTTATTTCAGGTCTGTGACTGTATTTTTAACACAGTGTATCAGAACATGATCACAATTCTACCAATGAAAGGAGTCAAACACAAAGAGAATGGATGCTTGTCTTCCAGCTACAGAATTCTAAGAAATTCTGAGTAACTTCCTCTAGATGGCAGTGAAAAACTTGCTGGCAAGGCCATACATAGGAATTGGTACCAGATAACTCGAAGCACTTCAGTGAGACAGTAGAAGAATTAGTAATTATTGCAGCCAAGGTTACACAAGTGCATGCACTACAATTTGCTTTTACTGATTTATGGTTTTGAAGTGTTCACTCAGGAGGTTGAAATAATTTCCACTCAACCATAAGGTATTTTCTACCTTATCTTTTAGGATAAGAAAACTTAATTGGCTTTCCTCTATTCTTGAAGACATTTTTATGGTGCTTGTCTGAATTACTTAACAGATAAAATAGTTGGCAATAGGCAGAAAGGGAGCACTTTGTGAGACGAGACACAACTGAAGTATGCTTCAGAGTGAAATATTTAGATTTATTGACATTTACGTTGCATGCAAACAAAGCATAAGGATATCATCTTCTTGTTAAGAATGCATGAAAACAAGAAAAAAAAATAGGAAAAAGAGCCAAGTTGTACTGGCAGCTAGCTTTGATTACTGACACTGATGTACAGTGAGAATGCACTGGGCATGCAGTTTTCAGACAGGTGTTGAACAGTCAGTTCAATCAATTTTTTTTGTATTTTAGTGACTCCTAAGGCCCTCTTAGTCAATTTTCTCCATCTCCCTTCTGTAGACATAAATAGAACACAACAGCATGGACATTTAATCTAATTTGCAGTAAGCACTTACTCCTCTAGATCTTATCTAGTGTTCAAAACCTGTGCCTGATTACAACAAAGGCTTTTTTAAAAGATGCAAGATGTGGATATGAGGATGCAAAAAAGTGGTTTATGTTAAAAGCTTGATGCAAAGTAGGATTATTCATTCAACTTTCCAGCAAATAAACAAGACAATAATGGAGAGGCAAAGTCTGAATGCTCAGAACACACCTAACTAGCTTAGTGGTAAAAAAGTTACATCCAAACAACTGTCTATCTGGAGCACTGAAAGACTACAAACAACTATCAGTAGAAGAGAAAAACAGCTATAATATTGCCTAATAACTGAATTTAATACAAAATATCAGTTATCCAGGTGGAGTCGAGAGAACAACAGCTCCGACAGCTTCTTTGTGAGAATAACACACAGATGTTGGGGAGGAGCCTGTAGTATTAAAACAAAGAGATGCTACTGCTTTACCTGTCTCAATTGGAGGAATCTTGCTTTCAACAGCATTTGACACTGCTTTGCTGTCTTTAGCACAGGATAATTCACCATTTGTTGTTTGACAAGAACAGCAACCTATTAAATATATACAGTAATAGGATAGTTAGTTTCCTTCACTGCCATAATTTATTTTCCAGATGTAACAATATATTCTATGCAGCTTTAACTATTATGCTCAAAAATAACCCAAAAGGAGAAGACAGACTTAATTTTTCCAGTTTGTTCAGAGGGTAAATGGGTCACTAATACTAATAGTTTAACATAACACTGAAGCAACAGAAACACTTCTAGCTATAGGCAAAAAACCAGGAACTGATCAAAAAGGCTACATACAAAAAAGGATTAGAAACACAGAGTGCTTCTGTTGGCATTTAATTCGTTCTCAGAGAGACAATTTAGTGGGTAAACAATCTAAGATGCCTAGTGGGCTGCATTTATTACATCCTTATCAAGGTATCACTACTTACATAAAAATCATCCACGGGCTTTTCTTCCTGTCCACTTACACAACTCTTACAATGGTAACAATCAAACTTCTTTAGAAACACAAACCTAAATACTTGGGCAGTTATATCTAGATTTTCTTCTGCCCTAATCTAACACCTGAAGCTGTAAACTGTCCTTCACAGGCCAGAATTACGTCTGAAATATTAGTTTATAGCACCCTAAGCCAGTTGTTCTTTATACAAATATACTTTGTGTACCTTTTTCTGCAGATGTCTGTGCAGAAGGACTTGGAGAAGACTGTGCAGAAGATTCTGGAGAAGATTGTGCAGAAGATTCTGGAGAAGACTGAGTCATAGTGGCTGAAATGTTCTGCCCACTCCCTTCCACTTCAACCTCCTCCATTGAGCTACGTGGTGAGTATGGGTTCAACACCCCATAGCTGGACCCTTGCCTACTTCTGTTCATGCACATCAGTGAGATACCTGACAGCAATATACTGATGAACAGTACCACTGCTGTGGTAATTATCTGTTAAGAAAGCAAAGAAAATGCACTTAAATATAGGGAAATAGTTGATATGTTTGTCTTTCTAACTTGTGTACTTTTCTAAATACACTTACAAATGAGTCTGAACAAGACTATGTTTCCTATATTTACTGCTCTTGCACCTCATGGCACTGAAAGAGACTAATTTTCCTTGCCTGAGCAACTTAGCTTTTTAGTTGTTTTTTGAAGTGTGGACCCCTGTTTCCCATGCAATCCAAAAACATCCCTCATTGTCTTCCCCCTTCCTCTCAGGATCACCAGTGCTCTGGGTTAAGTTCTGCTCAGGTACCTTTTCATTCCAAAGAGGAATGTGCTCTAATTTACATTCTTTAGCAAATGGGGAGCACCCTATTAATTAGCCTTTCCTTCTAATCACCTGCACTGATACCCAGAATCCACTCTGAGGCTATTTAGTACTTGTGAAAGTGCCACAGGAACAATCTTGAGTGACTCATAGACTCTCTGTCCATGAGAAAGAGAGGGAGAAAACATGACAAATACCTATGCTAGTACACTTTATATCCTCTGAGAAGAGGAACTATTTGCTGGTAAAAATGGTAGTTCAGGGTCTTTCAATCTATGATTGTGCTGAGAAGCCTACCATAGTGCAAGTAGTTACTGCTACACAGGTGATGCATATCCTATCTATTACAGACCAAAAGCCATTAATTAGATACTGGATAATAACAATTCTAGATAACTATCATGCTAGAATACAAATTAGTCACCAGGAAAAGACCTCTGTAATTCATTACCACTCCTAAGTTTTTTCTTTAAGAAGCCTACTCCCTTTTTTCCTTAGTCATAGTTGCCTAAACATGAAGATCCTTCTCCAAACATATGTTCCTAGTGGCTCATCACAGAAATACATTTTTGTATCAATCTATAAGCATTCTACAATGATACTTCAATTATAGTAGCCTGCACTTTGACTGACAGCTACTTGCACAGGTAGCAAGGCAGAAGTCTGAAGTGATGAGGACAGGACATGTTCCTACCTGATGTTTTCCATAGAAAAAGGCAGAGTCAATACTAGTGTTGTTACGTTCACCAACAATTAATAAGATTCCCACCAGAACTGTTGGGACTCTGAAAGAACAAAATAGGAAGTACATAACATATTTATCATGCTCCCACTAATTCAACAGGGAAGCATTTGAATTAACTTACCCCCATCCAGCTATGATGATAAACCCAATGGGAATCTTTATTGTTTCTCTCTTCTTCAACAGAAACAGAGAAAAAGATAGAAAACCTAAAAAAATCAAACAAAATCAAAACAAAAATAAATGTCTTATTATTAAAAAGGGAACTGGTAAATACAGAGCCTAGAAACTCTATGATATGACCTGTTCAATAGCTTAAAATATTCTTCTTGGACCTTTAAATATTCCAAAATTTGTCTGATTGTATTCTGAGAAAGTAAATTAGAAATACCCATTGCCTAAAAAATCATGTTAATAGTGAAACACTGAAAAACTGCCAGGACATTTTATATTAAATATTCACTTCTAAATGTTAAAAAAGGTTCACAAGAGTAAAAAAGAAGTAATGAGAACATTTAAGATATAAGCAACTGATTTCTTTAGCTATTAACAGCACTTTTCTATCTCAACTCTTTTGCAATCAACAAATAGTGTTGTATTAAGTTACAACACTTCCTTAAAAACTGACTGGTCCTTTGTAAAGTCAATGATAAATTTAACTAAAAGGTTTTGCATGTTTTTATGTATCTAACTCTTTTGGGTATCTTCTGGAACTACCTAGTCTACTCACACCTCAGCAACATTCTCATGTGGAAGCAAAGCTAGTATTTATATTAGGTCCCACCAATCATGAGCTATGTGCTTCAGCTAAATAAATACAACTCACTCCAGAAAAATACCACAGGAATTAAACCTGTAGATTCTGGACAAAAATATCTTGAATTCCCAAAGTCTCTTTTCTTTTAATCATACATGTAAGGTTCTCCAAACTTCTTGAAGCATCTTTCAATTCATTCGATTTCAATTCCTGCATTAATCTTACACACATATATTGTTTTTAGAAACTACAATTTCCAGGGGAAAGAGGTGTTAAAGCTACTTGAGTATTTCCCTTCATTCAGTATTTTGTACTTTTCATTGCACCAGTTTTTAAATCTACTTAATGCTGAATAATTAAAATCTTAAACTCTGCATTAATTAAAAATCATCATTAAGACTTTGACTAGCTGAAGGGCAACCCTCCATATTCACTCTATTTGTAGCTGCTTCTGCCTTGAAAGCAGGCTCTTGTCTCCTGTCACACACCAGCCAGGCTACTGTACCCAGCAAAGGCAATCCACAACTGCCCAGGCAGAAGCTTCCAACAGCAGCAGCAGTGCCTAACCTAAACCTCAGCACAACTTCCAGGCATCCCCACTTGTAGAACTACAAACAAGTGAAAGGATCAAGTACTCTGAAGATTGTAATTAACCTTATTTCAGGACATTAATCTTTCATTTCAGTACCTGAGCTCTGCCTAGAAAAACCATACCTGTCCATAGGTAGGTGCTGTAAAGTGAGCTGTAGAGGAATATGAATACGAGGATCTGGATGGTGATGTCTTTCTCTTTAACAGTGAAATTCCATGCCACCATTCCAATGCAAGCAATAAACTGGAAAGAAAAGTAAGATACCATCATTCAAACTGGGAAAGCAGAATGACAAAAAAAAACCAAAACCAAACAACTGAACAGAGAGCTATATAATTGTAGTAAGCTTTAAACTCCACCCTACCCCAGATCCACTTCAGATGCACTGGAGGGTGATTTTAAGAACTGGATACTTCTCTTAGCAGTAAAGTACTGCCACAGTAAATTCAGTATTACAGTTGTGTCACTTGACTATGCTACCTTATTTTCAGGAGGGCTTTTTTGACAGCAAGTATACAGCTCATATAAACTAGGAGTAAGGCAAATCAGGTAACCCCCAACTTGTAAGTAAATGGTGATGTTTTTGGCAAGTACAAACCATTTACCTAAAATTATCTGCCCATGAAACTGAGGTAAATAGGTATTTGCTCAGCCAAGAATTACAGCAGTTGTCACCCAGTGTTACTGCATATATGATAATTTTAACACTGAAGAAATCTGAAAAGATAGGCTGAAGTATTGTGGAAACAGTAACACAATAGTCCAATTTTTTTAATATGAAAGCTAGCTTTGTTGGTACAGAACAGAGGCACCTGCAGTTCTATAACACTGAAGAAATCTGAAAAGATAGGCTGAAGTATTGTGGAAAAGTAACACAATAGTCTATTTTTTTTTTAAGATGAAAGCTAGCTTTGCTGGTACAGAACAGAAGCACCTGCTGTTCTCATACATGACATTTTTCAAATAATTTTTCAAATAATTTTTCAAATTTCCATGATCAGAGCTCAGAGAGTTTGCAATATACAGAGATATTAAAAAAAAACCAAACTACAGAACACTTCAGAAAGCACAACCACACAGATGCTATACAAGCACAGGCTGTTCCTGTTGTGCAGTTGATTTCAAGGGAATAAGGAGCATGTAATCTGCAGTTCTCTCTCAGATTAAATAACAATTAAAATTAATCCAGAGCCACTTGGCTTTGGCCTTCCCTAGCCACCAGCCATGCATTCCCACACATCTTTGCACATCCTTGCACCAGCACTTGCACCTGCTGATCTCCCAGCAAGAGCTGCAGGGACGTAAACAGGGATTATTTTTCTATTTAGCTCCTTGAATAGGGTCACTACAGAGTCAAACACAGGCTGCTGCTCCTGGTATTGCCAGCTTCAGATGGGCATAACTGAAACAGAAGTGCTCTCAACAGTACTGGGCAATAACTAAGAAAACATCTCAGAAGCCACTCTCTATTCTGATTGTTTATAGTTTTGTTTAGGAATCACAGTGCCCACATTAACTATCATTTTCTTCAAGGGTGTATTTCATAACACTGAAATTGTTTAGACAAGTCACACATTAGATTCACCTGCCCTCCACAGTTGGCTATAAAGATCTCACAGTAAAAATCAAACTTCCAAAATTGTTAAAAAATACTTAAACCCTAAACCTCATACAACAGCATTCTCCTTACTACTGACCTGAGCAACAAGTAGATTTGTTGTAATCATATGAGGAATCTGTTTGTATTTCTTACTCAGAACAACAACAGTAAGAGACCAGGTCTGTAACATACAAGAAGAAAAATTAATTTAAGAATAAAACAAAACCCAAAGGAAGAAGATGAGTATTCTGGCAAATGATGGTGAAATTAAATATACAACAGATCTTAGCAACATGACTGCTACAGTATGCTGCCAGCCCCTTTGCCTCAGCAGCTGTGGTCAGAAAAAGCAATGCATATTGGTGCTCTCATGGTGAAGTATTTCCAGTAAAGACCAAGCACTTGCCTGGAGCATGCAGAATCCTGTTAGTTCCTCAGGACACAAATGACCACAGTGTAGCCTGGAAATTTAGAATTTAAAATCCACACCCACCTCCCCTGAATCTCCCAAAATTATCTGACCAGCAACAGTTAGCATTCACTTCTGGCTTCCCTTCAGGCATAGTTTCAAGACAAGAGGACTTCGGTGAGACAACAACTTCAGAAAATTCCAACATGGATGTTTTTATTTTTAGAAAGCAAATAAAATCATCATACTATCTGTACTTTCTTTAAAACCAAAATAAAATTCACATTGGACATCTGGATTATCAACTCAGTTTTTAAGAAAATAATTTCTAGTAAAGGAATTTGACAAACATAAATTTTTCATTCATGCTCATTAAGACTTCATTAAACAAATATGCACTGACATTTCTGAAGCTGAAGTTTGTACACAGCCTTCATTACTGTGATATCCAAGCACCTCACTTGGCTTGATGCAACTAGTCTCTGTGGTGTAAGTAGTACTTTCATTCCCTCACACCCTGTTATTAAAATAGGAAAACAAACCTAACAAAAAAACCTCTCAAGCTCTGCACTAAATACTCTAATTCAGTTACTCATCTTTCTCTACAGCGCAGCTTTCCAGCAGACCCACTGCTTAATCAGGATTTTTAACTCCTTCCTCATCCCTCTGCCTCAGGATCCGATGAGGAAATCAACTCCCACAATGACTCAGTCTGCTGCTTACGCACCCAGGCTGCCCTGACCCAGAGCTCCTTTGTGCCTCACCCACCAGAGAGATGAGGCTGACGATGCTGATGTCAAAGCTGACGTTCTGGAGAGCAGCTGCCAGGGGGTTGGGGTCCATGGAGGGGATGGTCAGCAGCCATGCAGAAACATACATGATGGGGGCAGACACAAACGTGCTTATCACCATGCCAGAGGTAATCTGATGAGAGTCAAACAGAAAAAACAGAGTTAATCACACCTCAGGCTAAATCATCTGCTTTCAGGAATACAACAACTGGCAAAATTGGAACTCTGAATTAAACATACCTAGAACTTGAACAAATAATGAGTTGTTTCTATAACAAATTATTTAGAATTTGAGCCAGAAACTATCTGGTTTATACACAGAGACAAACTGAAAATTTTAGCAAGCTTCTGAAATAGGAGGAGTAGAGTTTCCTACTGCAGAGTTCTACAGAGCTTTCTCTGTAGGGTGTCAAATATACTAATGACTGCTGTCTAGGGGTAAATTTACACTGTCACAATTTGCTTTTGGATATAAACATTCACACCATAAAGAACTAAAAAAAACCCATGTAGCTATGCAAATATTAATATACACCAATTTATGAGAAGAAACCATATATATTTGGAAGTGATTTCTAGTTTGGCTTCTCATTGTCTTTCTACTTTTTCAAATTTGCACAGTGATGGAAGTGTGAGTTGTTACTCATACTAGAGACTCCGCTTTAAAGAAATTTCTTAGGTTTGTAGAGTATAAAATTCTATCTTGCATGATTTAGTTTTATTATACTTTTTTTCTTAAAAAAACCAAACACATCTAAACAACTCCAAAATAGAAACCATTAAAAACAATGAAAATCAACAAAAGTGTGTTAATGCCACTTCAAGTGGAAGAAACAATTCCAGAATTTCTATTTAAAGTTGAAAAGGTACCTTCTACTATGTACATATTAAAAATAATAAAATGCTTTCTATTACAAGATTTAAGTGAAGGGCAGCACAATGAATCAGTTAAAGCTTAAGATCTTCCATAAATTTTCAGCTATGACACTATTCTTACTGAAGTCAGTAATGTAATTTCTTTTCTCCCCCTACAAAAACATCTCAAAGATAACGTCATTGAAAATAAAACAGACAAAAAACACAATCCCAAAAAACAACAAAGATACAAGTTCTTTATATCTGAAGTTATGCTATCTCTTTCTACTAGAGTCACAAATGGAAAAAAAAAAAGAAAGATGAGGACCATCAAGACACTTAAGACTTCAGGAAAGATCCTTGGAGTACAAGTAATTCTAAGGTATCTATACTTCAGAAAAGCAAATTCTTCAAGCCTACTTATTTATTTATTTAATCAAAGAAGTTAAGCTCACAGTTAGGACACATCTGGAAAAGTTTAACTACATACAATTCCTACTTCCATGTTGAATTGACTTGCGAATATTGCGACACCAGGTGCTGCTGGAAAAACTCCATAAAGAAATGCATAGTTTGATAAACTGGTGTGATTGACCACGTTGTCACTCTTGTCCAAGAGCTCCACCATCTCTCTACAGAGAAATGGCATCATGAGCCTGAAAGAGAAAAAAGTAATTGAAAAAATATTACTCAACCTACAACAACAGACTGACTCTTCTTTACCCAGAAAATTAACAAAAAGGAAATTTAAGGCTTGTTTGAATATTACTTATGAAAAGCAAAATACTGACATCACTTTGAATGACTGCTTTTATTGTTATCAAAATATTTCCCAGCTGCTTAAAAATCTTCCATCACAAATTACATTCAAATAAAAAGGACAAACATGACAACAAACTTGCATATAGAAGCAGCTTCCCTGAATGTGACACATTCTTTGTACAAACTTCAAATTTAGAATGGCAAAATATTAAAAACCCTCTCATTTTTCAACTGTTAAAGTAATAGTAGCTACAAGCAGTCAGCAGCTCTGAAATTCAGTCCACCTTTCTGCAAGCTGTCTGAAATATAGTAAGGGCTCATGCTTAAGTATCCCATGCCAAAATTTTTGGCCAGCAAACCACTGGCATAAAGGCTATTTCAGCAATAGCCCAGATCTCACACAGACTCAATGTAAGTCTTACAGGCTTACAGTAAAGCAAAGTAGCAACATTAAAGCCCAGTGTTTTTCACACTTTTTTCATTACAAAATTTGTCATTAAACTGGTTTACTGACTAGGTCTTTAGCTTTGCTGGTTAGTTGTACTTGATATTGAAATCCTTGCACCTTCAAATTTTACAATCTAAACTTAAAACCAAACATTCTATTATGTTAATTGTAGCTCTGTAGGAAATAAAATATTTGATATTAAATAAATATTCCCTGAAATATATTCAAGGGAAGATATGACAGCATAAGTTTTAAATAGAACTTGGCATTTATTCATGCTTAAAAGTCAAATAGTTTGAGAGCATGAAGTGAACATATTTACACTCTTCCAGCATAGTTGTTTCAAAGACTTATAAAGAAAAAAAAAATAATTTGGAGATGCATTGTTTAAGGCAAATAAAATACAAATACTAATCAAATATACTTAAACTCACAACTGTCTAACTATTGATTCAGTAGATTTTGATTTAAGCTACTAATTCCCCAAATACCCAGTGTTTGACAGATGGCCTGAGGGCAGTCCATGAAGGCACAGCACCCCTGATTTTCTTTCTCTCAGAGCCTGACAACAGGTTTTAGTCTACTAAATTTCCTTTGAAAATTGACAGCTGTATTCTACCAAAGAGTTTGGGAAGCACTCACTCAAAATACTGGAAGCAAAATGTACTATTATCATAGGATTTTTGAGAGAAAAGCCATCTGACCAGGGTATTCAGAGCTTAAAACATCTAGAGAACAAAAGTATAAAAATACATAAATTGAACTTACAGTTTAGCTGTGATGAGAAGGATCAGTGCAACAAACATACCCTTTGTCAGTTTTTTGGTTTGTCCCACCATAGTCAGTCCAAGGTAAAAAAGTGCAGAGCCAGAAAATGAACTGCCCAGTCCATCAAGGAAGTTTTCAAGGTATTCAGGAATTTTCTGGCCAAGAATAAAGTTTGAGGCAATTCCTATGAAGACCATGAATACAATTGGGTTCTGCAAAACTCGAAGGAGTGCTAGGCCCACTATTTTGATTTTGCTCTGTGACACAGTGCGATTATTCCTCCACTTCTGGATTTCACAGAAGATAAACCCCAAGGGGTTTAGCATCATAAGAGATATTGGAGCCACTAGGTAAATGTACTGGAGATACTCTGGGTAAGTGGTTTGATATAAAGCTTCAACTAGAAGACAGGAAATGAAGAGTTATGAGTGATAACACTTCAGCAGAAAAATACATTGAAATATTGAAATTAAATTTTACTTTCTGAAAAGTAAAGAAAATCATTTACATTTCCTCCAGAAGGAACTGAAGAGATCCATTTAATTAACAATCAATATAAGACAATGCAGGAAGAGAAGTATGTCCTATTGTATTAGGCAACAGTTATCTAAACAACACATTAAAGACCAAAGATTAACTATCCAATACTACTTAACCATCCTACAATTAGCCAACATTTACAGAAAAAAAGAAAGAAAACAATGTAAAAATTCTATGTTTCCTTTGAGTCATCCCAAATGCTGGAAAAATTTTGGCTTTATTTCTGACTTGCTTTTCCTCCCCAGAAACATGACAGTTATGGAGAATTAAATGCACCTTTGCAGGATACAAGTTACTTCCCATCTTAAGGGAGTCTCACTTCTTTGGAATTTAATCAGTTTTCAATGGGTAAGTCAGGTGTGATCTTTCTACATTGATTCAATACAACACAACAAAGCAACAACTGGGGAAAAAAAGTTTATGACAAAATTATTGGTTCATTCTCTGGGACTACTTCGGACAAGAGTTACTGCTGTAGTTATGGTCCCTCAAGGAACTCTAAATCATGAGCTTTTGCTTTCATTGCTACTACATACTTCTGAGTCAAAGTAGAATTGCTTCTTATTTCCAGTTTGTACTGAAGGCATTCCAAAAATAATGAAAATACTTTGGAAATATAAAAGATTCAATTCTAATGTAAATTTAAAAAGCCCCCAATGCTTTAAAAGTAGAATGTTCTTTTTTACCTGATGTACAATTGTTATATTTAATATTTTTGTTATTAATAATTATTTATAATGTTATAACTATTAATAGTATGTCAATTATCTGTACATGTAGTTAATTTTATCATAATAATTACATATACTATGTATTAGATACATACTATGCAATACATAATTATTAATAATACTATTAAGCTTTTATGAAAAAGTTTTTCCTCGTGACTACATTTTTCAAAATCCAAAAGAGTTTTACCTTTGTATTATTTAAGCCTCTGGAATGACAGGAACTTCCAAGTGCTAAATCAGCACTCACTTTGAACAGTCTCCTCTTTAGAGCAAATAAACTGACATTCTCAACTAGCTAATTTCTTACACATATAAAAAAAGGCACTAAAGGCATTTTTACTTTTACAGGCCATTATTAAAGTACATGTGGAAGAACTACCTGCACAAAATCCGAAATAGACTGCTGAATAGAAGCACCAAGTTTGGGGTTAGTTACTGCATTTAACAAGCCAGTTTTAAGCACTAAACACAACCTGGCAATCAAAACCACTTTAAACATGCTGGACACTTTTTATGCAAATAGGTTATTTCCTAAAACTTCAAACCTGAGACTGATGTTTTATATTGCTTTATGCAGAATGCCCAAGTCACTCGAACACAACTCCACCCAAGTCATGTGTAATTAATGTCTGAGTGAAAAATTTTAAAAGCCTTTACATTCTGGTAAAGTGAAGCTGCATACTTAAGACAGTAAATTAAGGTCTATAAGTACTTTAAATCATGTATGATGTCAGAAAGCATTTTACTGGGTACAAAAAGTAGAGTTAGATTAGTGAGTCAGTGGGTGAAAAAAAAACAAGAAATCAGTCTTAAAGAATCATTAAGACAGTAAAAATAATCCACAACTTCTATCACTGATGAAAAGTTTTCTTTTTATTTAAATCATGGTGCCTGCTTGCTAATAATAAAAAACCTGAAGTTAAAGATACTTTAATTTTTTAAAAAATCAATTCCTCATGTCCCAGCTGCTCAAAAGTAGATATAAAACACACACCATGCTTAATACAATGAGTATGATTAAAGTCACAGTGACTGTCACCCACACAGCACGTCTGCTACACCTGTGCTTTAACACACAGCTCTAGAGAATACCTGAATCTCTTTGTCAGACTTGTATCATTATTACCCTGTAATTAAAAACCCCAAAGCTTTCTATCATAGTAATTCTCACTACATCAGGGGTGTGCTAACAAACCTCTCTGCCAGTTGGTTCTTTTTCACCCCAACATCACTTTTAAATCTAGAACTATCATAACCATGATAATAGAAAACCAGTGATAAGCTTCAAAAATTTGACCCGTATTTTGATTTTGCTATGTGCAAATCTTTTCAAACTGCAAAAAAGAGCATAGTAAAGAAATAACAAATAATAATAGTCAGGTATTAAAGAAATTATATAGGATAAAGACTCAGGAATGATTAACAGTTCAAAATGCCTTTTTAAATAGTGTTGATTTAGTGCACAATTTGTCAATATTGATTTTTTTCTTTTACAAATTTCCACTGCTACAGCATTTAAAAGTATTTTTTCATTAAAAGATCAGCCTTTGTTCAAAACACTACCTCTACCACATAAAAAACAGCAAGGTATTCTTTGTTGACCAGTCCTGCAAACACTTCAGAGAAGCTTGGGTAATATTTTACTAACAGCAAAAAGTTTGCACAGGTGACAGCATGAACCCAACACCAGTGAAAGTTTGAGGATGGGAGAAGGGAAAGGACAAGAGGAAATAAACCTCTAGAGCCTACAATGTTTCTGTTGCAGTAACTATTCCAGCAAAGCTCTAAATGTGTGTGAATTTTGTCAAGATCATACATAGAAAAAAATATAAATCATATCTTATAAATCATGAAGTACCTAAAGAAATAGGCAGTCTTACAATAAAGTAAAAGTTGAAAGACTGTTTTAACCGGGATACAATGGAAATACATTCAGAGACCGTCAAAATACATATATATATATATAAAAGAGAAACACTAACTGGCATCTAAAATGCATACCAACAAACAAAGATATAATTCTCACAGCCCCATTTGTGGCACACTTCTGATTTCTTTCAAGAGGAATACATCTCAGGAGATCCAACTGAAACACAGTATTTTCACTGAAAAAAATACGCAGTCACATTTGTCTAAATTTTATATACATATCAAGCAAATTTGAAGAAAATAAGAAAGACTGAGGATTCTCCTGAACATGCTGCCCTGGAATAAGGAGAAAGACATTGTTAACTCCTAAAGTAATCTAAAATATGGATCTTGTTGTTACATATAATCTGGAATTGCATATTTGACGTTGCCTTTGTAATTGTACTTTCAATTCTGTAATCCAACATCTTGTTTTTTGTTTTGATAGAACTAACTTGCTCTCTTTTATTTTTAATGTTTCCTAGATTAACAGTCTCAAAGAGAATTTGAGAGGCACTTCAGAAATTACTTCAATTGCATGGGACTTCAATACAGAAGTCAATTTCAAACTATGGAAATATAAAAGCAAAGATGTCGAGAAGAGTGACAATCAATTTCAAAGAAGAAAATGTACTCACCTATTGGATATCCCAGCGCAAAGTCATTGCTTTGTGTAGCAAAAATAGGGAACAAGCCTGCTTTGCTAAATCTGTTCTCAGGACTGGCTACTAACAATGTTAAAACACAGACTAAAAAAAACACAGCAGCTTTGGCAACTAAAACACTGTACAGGAAGGACCAATTCACATTAGAAAAATTAAGTACCACCATGTTTTTGAACAGTAATGCCGGGAGTGCAAAACGGGACACGAAATTTCCCAGTCCTTTGGCCTGAGTTGATGTGATAATGTTGGCTCTTCCAGCTATGTAGCCACAAAGAATTATTCCAAAGCATTCCAACAGGGCTGGGAAAAGCCTGCTTATTGACATAGAAGGGGGACTGCCAGTGGTATTGAGTCCAGCTTGTCCAGGCAAAGAAAGAGACATATTAGCTGAAGATGAGAGGTTCTTTGCAGTGAAGTCTGAATAGCTATCCATTTCCTCTGACCACCTCTTCCAAAAGAAGAGTGTGAAATGATCTCATCTGTAAAAGGAACAAAAGTACATTTATTAACTTCATTCCTTTTAAGTACAAGCTTATGCCCTCTTAAGTTATTACAGAATGGACAACAGGAATAGCCCTTACAAGAAGTGAGCACCAGGAAAGAAAGATAAATTTGATGAAGAATCAAAGCTTCTCCACTCTGGTACAAAAACATTTGGCAAGGTCCTCTCTACCTTCCAGAAAAATTTAGAGTTTAAATTATCATATCACCCTTGAAGTTTGTACCTTGCTTTGTGCAACTTTGACCTCTCCCAACATTTCAATATCATGTGCTAATGATACACTTTCAGTTAGCAAAGAATCCACAGATGACACAGCAGCCAGTGATCTAATTCATTGCGCTAGAGCTGACCCATATTTCTACATACAATTCTTTAGGTCTGGAGCAGGCAAATTTAAGCATGTATGAAGCATTTATGTGCAACAGAAATATCTGTTGACCCCTGTTCCTCACTTGTTAGCAGCAATTGCCTTTGAAAGGACTGATTACAACACCACAGGTTCTATATGCAAGCCGACATGTAGAGTCTGAAAATCAGATGAAGAGAGTGGACATCAAACACAAATATTCATTGGTCAACAGCAAGGTCCTGTCAGAAACAGATATGGCTTTGGCAATATAGCTCTGAAACCTGTGCAGTCCATCAGGTAACTCTGCACATAAAGTTCTGACATGACTAAATCCTGAAGTACTTTGTTTAGGAAGTCAAGATTATTTACCTCATTTTGTAGGGATAGAAACTAAGGCAAAGGTGAACTGATTTCCCCTAAGCTATTTAAGGTATCAGTGGTACAGTCAAAATTGTCAAGTCCCAAACAATGCTTTTTATAGTACAATCTGTACAAATTAGCAACTGGTTTAAGAATCTTCCCAGCCTCTTTGTATCCTATCCACAAGGAACACAGAACACAGCAGCCAGGTAAATAAGCAAGTAAATCAAGTCAGTGCAAAGGTGAGGTCTTGTAAGGTCTACTCACACCCTGGCATCCAGCATATACATATTCACAAGCTTCAACTCTTTGACTCATGACTTTTATTTATGCCTGAGGCTTTTGGTAAGCACTTCTATGATGCTCTGGTAATTCATCTGGACTGAGCTGATGCATCATCCAAATCCATCCAGTAGCCTTGGCTATCCCTTCTCCCAAGGAAAAGGAGTCTCACTCCAAGTAGGGCTTATTTTAAAGGCTGTACTTTCTTATGTTATAGATGATAAATTAGCTTAGATTTATTTGCACCAAGAGCTCAAAGTATTATTTGCTACAAAACAATGGGAAAACTTGCAAGAAATGAAGCAAACAACAAATCATTTCTTCTACTAAAATACTTAAGGATGTTGTTGGAATTTGCAAAATGTCCAAAGAGGACCAGAGACAGATTTCCAACACCAAATTCTTGAAAGAAATCAGCCACATTCTACACTAGCTGCAAGGTAAAAAACAGGTTTTCAGCACATGTCAAATTCTCCAGCTTACAGCACTGCATAGAGGTAAGGCTCCCAGCACTGCAATGTGTTCAACCTACTCACTGCTCTCTCAAGGTATTTTTCTTCAGCAATAAGATACAGCTGAAACTTTTTTAACCAAATGCAACATTTGATCTGTAGTGGGAGTATATTCCAGCCGTATCTATCCCTAAATTCTAGCATTCCTTCTCCTGTGCCTTCCTATTCAAGGCCAATGACAAGCCTCTCTTCCTTCTATATTAAAATGGTTATTTCTCTTCACAAAATTGCTACAAAATACAGAAGTGCTCTTGTCCCCATTTCATAATTCAGAACATAAATATGACTGACTCTTATGTTGTACCAGTCCAAAGCACACACTAAAGCCCCTATCTTCCTCACTAGATCAAAACTGACATGGACACACACCCACACATCCCAAACCATCTTTTGTAAGACAGATAGAGAGACAGACAGATAGATAAGATAGACAGATTGCTGCAGCCTTCCTTAGCCTACCTTCAACTTCATTATAAGGGACCCTGTCAAGTCATACAGGACAAATTTTTGGTAAACCACAAGAGTTTCAAAGAGAAGAACTCCATTACAGTAAAAGCTGCTACTGGCACTCCTCAGAGGGCTTTGAGAGTGAATTATCTCTTCAGCTCAAGAGACATGCACATCCTAAACCCTTCATATTTAACACAGGGCATCTATTGCCAAACAGCGTTTTCCAGAAATGCAAGCTTTTGCATTCTGCTTAACAGAATGAGTACATTTCAGCACTTTTTGCTCTATAGGATACAGACATTTATATAACTGTTATGAGATTATGTAATGACTAATCGCAGATTTAATATACAGCTTTGTTACACCTCAGGCTTATCCCAAACTAGCATCTCACAAGAGTGAAATTATCTTCAATTCACAGTTCTTAATGAAATCAGAGGTAATGATCTCATGCACACCTAAAACCTAATCTATTCTACACAGTTATTAGTTTGTTCTTATAGTAGATGTAGCAAACTAACCAGACAAATGACACTAAAATAAGGAAATATAACACAGTTGCAAGGGAAAGCACTTAGCTTTGACTCCACAGAACATACAATTTGTAGTTATCCCTTCAGGGATTGAGGGTTGAGATTTGAATCCTTAAGAACTCAGCCACAGCTGCATTTTTGGGAACTGGAGGCCAGTGCAGACACAGCTTTTAGGAATAATGCTGCCTTATCTGCTGTAGACTGTGCCAAGCATAGCTGCTTGCAGCCAGACTGTCAGCTTGCACGAGAGGAAGCCTTCTATGAAGACTAGCAATAGGCACAGAGCAAGTAACTAGTGCAGTTTAAACTTCCCGTGAAACATTTCTCTTCTAGGCTGTCAATATTTGTAACATTTTAAAATTCACCAGACCAGAAACTCAATTCTCCAGCAGCTGTGAGTTAAGTAACATCAGGTTCCTCTCTGAGTACAGAAATAGAGAAATTGTCTCCTTCACCAAAGGAAGGGGAAAATCCCTTTCATCTTCTTTTCCTAATGAAAGTCAAAGACAGATGAGTCAATAAAAGAGATAACTTCAATGTATATCTCCCCTCTGGTCTCTCACTCTTAAGCTTTCAACTGATAATCACTCTCAGTATAACATGGTGACACTGGCAAGACCGTGCACATTGCTCATAAATTATATCCCACAACATGACCTACTTCAATGCAATGCAGGAACTCTCCTACTTTAATGTAAGGATGACACATTTTACTCAGGAAAATTAGAATGGAATTGGGGTAGGAAGAGTTACTGCACACAGCAGCTCCACTACCCCATTCTCAGCTAAGATAAGCATGTACTACATGCATTTTTATGCAAAAATTTGTGAAGTCAAAGAGGAAGCAACTTCAGGGAGATAAAATGATAAAAGTAAGTGGGAAGAAGTGATTACTGTAGTTCCTATTTTTGCAAGTTAACCACAATTTTTGCTTTTCTCTATATTGGGCTAAGAAAACAGAGAGGAAGAGAACAATATCGCTAGAGCAATTAGCACAAGAAATGGGCCACCTATATCTAGAAACCTAGACAACGCCACAAGAAACATCACACACCTCATGTGTCTCTGAGCAGGTGTTTTTTGAGATCACACTTCCTTTGCCATCCTTGTCCCACGATGCCATTCCAAGAAAGCCCCTGGGCACCCGGGGATGCTGAGGCCTGCCCTGAGCACACGGCTGGCACGGCTCACAGCGACACTCCGAGCGCCACAAAACTCTGGCACTGCAGGAGCTCACACAAGACCAAATGAAGCAACAGCTGCCAGCGGCACCGAATGTCAACTCAGAAAATGAATGAGAAGCATACCTCCCTTTAATTTTCACTTAAGCTGTCATTTGGGCTTGTCAACAAATAGGCACATACTTCTGAAGTAAACAGCAAAACATTTTTCAAAAGGTAGATAATATTTTCTTGCCAGCACCCCTTAAAAAGCACCTCACTTGCACCACTTGCAGAACTGGGATGTAAAATCCTTTGACTCGCAGCCAGAGAGCGACATCAAAACCAGCGCCTCTCGCCTGCCCCTTCCCGGCCCATCGCTGCCCTCCTTCCCGCGGTCACCCCCGCCAGGAGCACGCAGCATTTTCAGTCAAAGAGAAAAAGCCAGCAGCACTGCCCGGGGTGACAGCTGCCTCAGTAGAAAATAGCGCCAGAAGCCGTGGAAATCAGCAGGCAGCTTACCTACTCAGCTTTCGGTAGGCGCCTCCGCACCGGGGTGCGTGGAGAGGGTTTGCGCTCTGCCAAACTGAGAACCCCTCTAAGGCCGAGGCCGCCGGTACGGAGGCCAGGCAGGGGAGGTCTGGCCCGCCCCGGCCCGCCCCGGCAGCGACAGCCCCGCTGCCGCGGCCGGCCGAGCGCCCCGGGCNNNGGGGCGGCCCGGGCCCGGCGGGTCTCCGCCGCCGCCTTGGCCCCGGGGGATCCCCCGCGCTCGGAGCCGCCTCCCCTGGAGCACGAGAGCGGAACGAGCTCCGGCCGCTCCCGGGGCGGCCCTCGTGGCTGCCCAGCTGCCCGCAGCCGGCGCTGCGCCCCGCGGACGGGAGGCCCGGCAGGGTGACCCCCGTTATCGGCCCGAGCCAGCGTCACCTGCAGCTCGGCGCGCCCGATAGCGGCGCTGGCTCCGGGCAGCCTGGCCCTGAACCTCCCACTCCCATCCCAACTTTCCCCGGCAGTCAGAGCGCTTAGAAATAAAAACCCCGTGTTCTCCACGTGCCATCGGTTCCACAGATCTGACCAGTCAGTAATTTCCCCAGTAAAAACTAAAAACTGCTTATGGCCGAAGATTCTGTTGTAGAAAAGGAGGACGCAGCTTTCTCAAGGCCATCCCTTTGTACTGCAATTGAGGGCACAGCAGTTCCAGCTGCCCTTTGCCTAAGAACCAGGACAGATACTGCTGCAGCAGAGACAGCAGGTGTGAGTTCAGCGTGCCTGAACTCACAGTCTGACCAGACTCCACCAGCTTGCCTCACTTGCTGAGTAGCGGCGATAGGTGTCCCATTGGGAGTAAGGCAGTATTCCTGACTGGAGCAGTGTCGACCAGTCTGTGTGCTCAGTAGCTTCCCATTCCAAACTTCCAACAAAAAACCTCACAAGTACTAAAAAAAACTTGCAAGGAACTTCCAGGGAAAATACCAAACATACAAAACCCCAAACTTCTTTCCCTTTCAGATAACATCCAAAAAAGACCAAAACAGAATGGAAAATTATCTCAACCAAAAAAGATGTATGTGATTGACAATTTATGAAGTGTTGTGTCAGATTTCAATTTTTTCCATAGTCAGTTCTGTTCACAAGATTACTGTTGAAATGCTTACCAGAAACTTACATAGCAAGAGCAGCAATATAACAGAAATAATACTTAAGGGAATTAATTGGAAGTCTAGTTAAGAATATCCTGTAAAGAATGCAGACAGGGACAGAAACTTGTGGGGATAAACACGGCTGTTAGAAACTTTTAGAAAGTACTACATTGTTGATATCATAGCTCTGCTTTAAATTTAATTTAAATATAGTGATGCTTAAATTTTGTCTTTCTGTACTAGTAGTGTATACACTTACTAGAACCTCAGCTGACATGAAGCAGCAGTGTCAGTGCTTGACTCCTCACTGCCTCTCATTCCTGTCTACATCCTGTCCCAACTCTGGGTCAACACAGCCCAAGCAAAAGATCAGCAAGGTATTATTCTAAAGCTATGCCAAGGTTTATTATGTATGTTTACAGCTGGAAAGTGGTGCAGCTTGTTGGGTAACACTCACCCACTGGTAACGTTAGGGTGAGACTTTGTTTTGATGCAAACACTAATAAAGAAGACTCTTTTGTTAATTTTTTCACTGTTGAAGTTTCTGTGTTTGGCACCTGACAAAGAGCACTTTCAGACTGATTTGGGTTTGGAAATACAGTATAATAAGGCCTTTCTGATTTTTTGGCTTTCTGTCATTTGTTCTTTCCTATAGAAATGACACCTTAGAGGGACATGCTCTGGGGAGTAGCAAGGGAGGTTTACCAGACCATACTAAAAGCTCCTGGTAAAAATGTATGCCTTCTCTTCTCTTGAATGCATTTTCCCTCTTTGAAAAGATGATTAGTGATTTAGCATTTAATAAAGTATTTAAAATAGAAGAATCCTTCAGCTGTTTGAAAAGAGCATACATTTGGCTGGATAGGCTGCTCATTGACTGCTATTGATATCCACCAACCACCAGGCTGACTTCCCAAGGGATCAGCAGAAACAGGACAGAGCTCTGCTTCCACCTCAGCTCTGGCATACACAGTGTGCTAAATCAAGTAAGCACACTTCACCCGAGTCTTGTGTCTTCTTTTGGGGAACACAAACAAATTAAAAGTGTAATATTCAAAAAAGTAAATAGTAAAGGACCTCAAAACCCTGAAAAAGTAAAATACTTTAAAGTATGAAAATGTAGCATCAAAGGCATGTGAAAAGGTACAATAAAATTATTACAGCTGCTGTCTAAATACATGAAGTAAAAGTATATAAATAGGACTTATAGATTTTAATCTTTATAGGACTTGCAGATTTTAATCTTTTTAAGCACATTATAAGCAGCCTAGCAACTATCTCTCGTTGACATGCAGCCTCTTCTGAGATGAAGAGAGAAGAACACTAGGGTCTTATCCCTTGCTCTGTTAAGAATCATGAAATCAATATTAACCAGACTGTACCACCAGAACAGCACTGTCAATAACTCAAGCACCAGACCAGTTCTCCACTTGGCTGGGAAATGTTAGGAACACGGTTTCCTGGCTTTTTTCAGTCTGGATAATTAGCAATGATAACTTAATGTTGAAGTCAAGAAACCTTTCTAATGCAGTATTCAATATACAGGATACTTCTGACCATACCATATCCAAAGACCATACAAAGTCCTGCTTCCCAGAACAGCAAAGGACAGTATTTTCTCACTGTTTGACACTCCTCTCTGCTCCCTCAACACTTAATCAAAGCTCCATAGGCGCTTTCTTTGAGCCACATTTTCTCTGTCCTTGAACATCCCCTTATGTTCCATGGAACATCTTTCTGTTCCAACATCCTGCCTTTACTATAGAGTTTAATTTCTTTTTCCTTGTAAGATCTCTGTAAACTAAGGGTGACAGCCATGGACATCAATTCTCATGGAGTTTCACATGAGAAGTTTCATCCCACAGAAGTATCAAAAAGCTCCCATGCGTTAATTAAACACCCAAACATAACTATACCTACAGGTAAAACAGTGCAAATAATGAATGGGGAGGGCAAGTTTTTGTGTACAACCTCCTGGGAGGACAGGTTTATAGAGTCCATCATCCATCCACCTTTCCCACTGGCAACTCAGCTCTGGCAGTTGAACTGTGCATCACAGAAAACACATTACCTGCCATTGCAAAGCCAAGCTTTCCAAAAGCCACTAAACAAACACCAAACTGAAAGTTGTCCTCAACATTTTAATTCAATCCTCTTGAGCATTCCCGTAACACAACATAACATTGTATAATCATTAACTACTCTCTCCCTTGATTTTTGTTGTTTTTCACTCAAATTGGATATTTCCATCCACTTAGGTGCCACCAAAGTAGTCAACAGATGATATGGGAGACAATTTCTTTTTGATCTGGGCAGCAGCTTAACCAATGCAAAGCAGCTGGAGCAACCATTACATGAGTCGTGCTGTGGCTTTCATCATACTCATTTCCCTGCAACAATTACACGTAGGCAGGCTGGGCCCACCCAGGAACTGCGAGAGGTTCACTCTCTCAGTGGGAGCAGGTGTCAGACAATGTCCCTTTCAAAAACTGGCAGTGACCACATAAAAACATTTTACAAAGGCTTACAACTGAGCCAGTTTGGAAAGGTTCTCTGGAAAGTCACAAATGCATCTTTGTACTGGGTGTGAAGGCTACTTCACTGGTAAACTCAAGCACTTGTTGCAAAACCTGAAATGATGGGGTATTCTAAAGAAAAGCAGTCAAGAATTTACTGTAAGCAAGTACATTTCTCCAGTTTGTTTCTGAAAATACTAAAATTGGATTTTTAATTTATTTTTTTTCTGGAGAACTAGCATGGAAGTTATAGTCAAATTGTTAGGGTGTGGTGATAACTGAAAGACAACCTTGCCTTACAATAGCAAGAGTCAGGTGAGTTTCAAAATAGCATTATTGATTAAAAATGTAGAAAATTTCTCTAAATAACCTCTCAGTAGGGTATTAGAAAACCATACCTTTTCCAACAATAGACAAAAAAAAGAATACAGAATATGAGAAGACAAGAAAAATGTCAGCAAATGATCAGGATGAAATCTGTCTGGAAATTTACAGACAGCATTTTCAGACAGCTGCACACCTTGTTTTCAACAGCATGGAAAAATCCAAGTATCTTACCAACACAGGAATTGCAGCAATGGATAGAGACACTAGAACTTCTTAGGTAATCTCCTTATCAAGCACAGGAAAAATACTTCCTCAATGCTCCTTGGTTATTGACAATGAGCCACACAATATACGAATATTGGATTTACACCTACACACAATGTGGCTTTGTAACTCCAGTACTGGAAAAAATACCCTTTTCATACTGCTCATTGCTTAAGAAGTAAATGGATTATATAATGCACAAGGCAGGGACCCGTGCTTGACCTCTGTTAAATTTTCTTAGCTGACTCCATCCACAAATGCATGCCTAACTTTGGTTATCTAAAACTGTAGTTCAGCGGTCAGAAAGTTTGTTGGTTTGTGATGTCTGCTCTCCTACAGTTGTGCGTAGGGCATGCAGGAAGAACATGAAGTGCTATCAGTACCTAGATGTGTCTGGTCACTTACACTGACTCACATGGTTACTGGCAAATAAACTACACTGTACAATACAGAGATGGTTGATGAAGCAGTTAAGCAACAAGGGAAACCTGAGGAAAATTAATCTGTAAACTGGAAATAGGCCCCTGGATTGTGCCTCTGGAGGGTGGTAGTAAACAAAAAGCTTTGTCTCATGAAAGAATTTCTAAAACTTCTGAGGCTTAGACAGAAAAATCCAACACCTGAGAGAAATTCTGAGTGTCCTTAAAGCAATATAACACAGAGATGAGGAGAATGCCACATACTGTTACTCATAAGCTTGAAGCTTGTTAATACAGAAATTATGAGGGATGCACTGGATGTTTACATTCACCTCAGCTACCTTGGAACACGTTTCTAAAAGGTCTTCCTTCTTAAGAAAGCACTTTATCAGCTCATCTGTAATTTCGCAGTAGTCCACATCATTATCTGCATTGGTTACGGGAACTTAATTGGTATTTTTCATATAGCATCTTTTGTAATACAGTGTGTATGGCCAGGCTGGTTTTGAAACCATGTTTACTGTACTCCACTCATTCACTTCTACTT